TTTTGGTCTCTTGGACAAATTACATAACCTCCTCAACTCTCACTTTTATCATATCAAAAAAGATAATATTTATGCTGTAAGGGTTAGTAATAATGGGTTTACTATGCATAGAATAGCATTTGCAGTTAACAGGTGCTAAATAAATTATCTACTGTTAAGACAATGATTAATTGTGATAATGGGGAAATTCCATTTTTCTCTTTGTTCAATAATCAGGATTGCACTTTTAAAAATATAAATAATGATGAGAGTGGAAATATCTTTTGATGGAAATAAAGTTTTGCAGAATTTTGCTTAAAATATAGTAAAATCTGGGTTATACTAATTGCTATTGATATATGCACATATTTGACTGGCACATGAGAATAAATCTCAAAGCTCATGTCATTAGTAATTGTCAATAAAGAGAACAGTTTTACAAAACAGTGAGATTTTCAGATAAAAAGTGGTCTAACAATGACAACATAATTCTACTATTTACTGAGTTCCTGCAATTCCACCAAGAACTCTGCAAGAAAGGATTTGTCAGCTTGATTTAACAGATGAAGAACCTGAGGGTCTCATTTTATGACATAACATATGCTTTCCAAACATAACCATAAAACTAATATAAAAGATAATCAAACTGAAATAGGTCACACAGATTTTTTCCTGATAAATACAAAAAGTGTACTACTGATGCAGACCTATATATGTTCATTATAACCGTTGCACAGGTTCAATATGGTACCTGAAATGGTGTTATTTAGTGAATTTAGGTGATTTGTTTATAATGTAACATTGTATTAAAAAGCAACATTTAATACATATGCTCTGCTGTTCTCTCTGCTGCTTTGGGTTACTTTCAACATGGCAGTCTGAGGGGTTCATTGGCTTCCTCCTTGATCCTAAGTGATTCTATTCTAAATCTGATTACATCCCAGATGTTCTAACTACTCAAGGACAAGAAGAGATTAGATGCCAGCTTGATTTAGAAACACAAGGACCCCAAGGAACTAGCATAAACTCAAAGCACCTAGAATAGGGAGATTTGAAAGCTTATCGCATCTATGAAAAATATCTCAAGAAAATATATCTGTCAGGAGTTAGGCAAAGAGAAAAACAGAAATTCTCATTCCTTCTTAGATTACAAGGTCTTCTAAATAGAGTATATTATACTTGTAAGAGATGAGCATCCCTAAAATAAACAAATTAAGTAAAGTTAACTTGCAAACAAATGTAAGAGTGCAATATGTATACATATACTTGAGGAAACATTTTAGGCCCTAAAATATAACATCACACCATCTTATTGATAAGCTTATGGTATTCACTGTAACTAAAGTTATTTTAGCCAAAAAATATTTTTACTAATCATAGCTTCATGCTTCTGAAATCACAGATTTCTAAAAGTAAAATAACATGAACTATAGAGGATATCTCATATATTTCTACTTAAACTAAAATATACAGCAAATAGGTTCTCTGCTGGGGCATTAATTGATATCTTTTTACTTAAATTCCATAAATAATGAAGCAGATGCAATATTCCTCAAGCCAGATACAAGCTTTCATAGGTTTTATCATTCCTATGACATCACACATGGTCTGAACCATAAACAGAGGTGAACCAAATGTTTCCCATTTAAAGCTGGCCACGGCAAAGATTTCAGCTCCATCCATGTCATATAAACATGCTACGGGCAAGAGCTCAACAAAAGCTTATAAAAGAGGCACCTGTGGTTTATAAATTAAGCCCATTTGCTGTAATTAACCAGCTTTATTTTTCATAAGTCAACTTTTTTCATTGTTTTTTAAACCATCCCTGTGGTGGTCATAAACACCATGCAGTTTTAATGGAGGAGGATTTGGTTTCTTAAAACCCCAGGAGACTTGAAATCAAATCAGTCAGGCCACTTCTAAAAGGAAAAAAAGAAATTGAGGGCTCTGGTTAACTTAGCTCCAGTTGTAGGCAATTCAATCCAAATAAAAATAGACTGGCATTAGTGCAGTTCTGTCTTGTACAGTCTCAGTAGATTTACCTTCCCCTTGGAGGTTAATCCCCAGCATGGTTTTCCTGGAGTCACAACTTACTTCTCTGCGTGGTTAACCCTTTAAAATTAAGTGTGCACCCAAAACAAAATATATTTTAAAATAAAATCAGGGAATTTCATAGAAAATATGTGGATATTAAAAAGTCATTTAAATATGTTTAACAATAGCCAATGCCATTTTAAATCAACATGGAACAATTGCAGGTTTAATATATATTTGAGGACGTTTTTAGAAGTATTTGAGCTTTCATTTTTTTTCCAGGTATACTTGGCAGCCCTAAAAATTCACCTAGAAATGCTGTGATTATTTATACAAACATATTTTACATATATTGCTTTGCTTGGCTCTAGTGGTAACAAAAATGCATGACTCTTTCATACTTCAGAATTAGATGCTCAGAAGTTTTTACACTGAGACATTTTTCTTGAACAAAAGGCATTCCCAGAAACCATGAATGCTTTTATAAAAAGTGTTTTCAATAACATAATTCCAAGGTCCTAATGAAAAAAAAAAAACTTGAGTAGGAAAAGCATTTCTACTATTCTAGGAAACTAGGAAACACCCGTTTATAAGAAATAGCTGATACACATAAGAAAAGATGTAAGTAGTATACTTGATTCTGCCAAATCTCTTTTTCAGTGTCCTTGTACAATTGACTTTCAGTAACAGCACTATACTTCACAAAGTGACCAAGGAATAAAGATATATGCAAACTGTCCCAATAATAGTGTATTTAAGCATAAAAATTATATCAAGAACTACAAAAATTATCAATTATTGATCAAAATAATTTCAAATCTAAGAATTGATTATAGGAGACTAAATAGAAACTTTGACACAGTATGTAAAGTACACAAAGAAATTCATTGTACGTAATCATAAAAGGAAAATATACATTCCAAGCTAAAAAAAAAAAAAGGACACACAAACCACAAACTTGAATAGAGAACTCATTCAAGTGAAAAATTTCCAAGGACGACTGAGCATGATTCGGTTTGTCTAATCCACCTGGAAAATAGTTCGGCATTTCTAATAAAGTGGAAAGCACGCATTCTCTGTGATACAGCAATTCTACCCATGTTATATACTCTACAGAAATTCACAGTTATGTATAATAAATACGTATGTACAAGAATTACCAGAGGAGTGTGGTTTGTGACAGTAAAGTACTAAAAACAACCCACATGTTATCTACAATAGAGTGAATAAAACATTTGTAATCTAGTCACATGACATTACTGGGTACCTATAAAAATACTAACAAGCTTCATGCATACAATGGATTACATATTTAAGACATAGTTGGGTTTAAAAAGTGGGATATGAATGAACTATATTTATGATTTCATTATGTAAAGATCCCAAAAAGCAAAGCTATACCATATGGATTAGGGAAATACATATAGGTGGTAAAGTGTATATAGCAGTAAGAGAATAAGCATGTTAATAAAGACTTCTTGGAGTAGGGAAACAATTATGACTGGGAAGGAATATATAGTAGGCTTCTGAAGTGTGAATTTGTTCCATAATTATTTGTCTTATAATTATTTATGTTATATTTCACCATATAAACATAATGCTTTTAAATGCAGAATTTGGAACAATTCTTGAAGGAGAAAATAACTATGTTATAATTCTAGAATAGCAGAATGCCCTTTGTATGCATGTGTCTGTGTGTGCATTCACATATATACTTAAATAATTAAATTTCAATAGATCTATATTTATGCACATGTTTTAAACCTGGCTGTGTAATGGGCTTAAAATGTACTTATACTAAAATTTAAGTTATCAGAAATACTATAAATCTTTAGTAATGAATGTGATCTTCTTCCCAAGTCCCTATCCTTAAGGTAACAGGGAGAACTTTATTTACTTAACTCTGACTTAATCCTTAGTCAAACCAAGTATTTCTAATATGTAGTGAGTCTGTCTTTTGAGATAAGGATCTCTTATTTCCTTTTCTCACCAAATTTCTGCTCCTATTCAAGATAATGTTTAGGATCAATGTGGGCAAAAAGCTCAGGGAACTTGTTGGATACAAGAAGCAGGTTATTGCATCAGCAAGAGGGCCAGTGGCTGCTCTGACATCAGCAAGAGGGCCAGTGGCTGCTCTGAGCTCTACAGCAACACCCCCTTGTCTGCCTGGCTCTTCCGGTTGCCATTTAAGGTTAAAGTCAGCAGACAACTCAACTCAACTCAAGATCCTTTCACCCTTTCAGTCCTCTCTCAGTAGCCCTTCCTATTGGCATGGCCTCCACATAACTCTCACTGGCTAAAATAATTTTTGAAGCTATACCACAATTTCCTTTCACCTTCTGACCCACCTGAAGCCTCCGCTATAAGTCCAGTCCATCCCTACAATGGTCTGGCCCTGTTGGCACAGTGGAACTCAATTCAGCATGGTACCATATAGAAACCAAATGAATCTTACACATCAAATACATTCCCTCTCCTTCTCTCTGCCTAAGCTCACAGGTCTGACCACCCCATTTTAGTTCAATTCCATTCTGGCCTCAACTTTGTATTATAGTTGACTCTTGAACAATATGGGTTTCAGCCTCACAGATTCATTTACATGTGGGTTTTTTTAAATAAATGTATTGGAAATTTTTCTGAAAAGTTTTGACAATTTGCAAAAACTCACAGATGAATTGTGCATAGCCTAGAAATAAAGAAAAAAATAAGAAAAATGTAGGTATGTCATGAATGCATAAAATGCATGTAGAACTAGTCTATCCTGTCATAGGCTTAAGGTGAGTGATATGTAATATTAAAATAATGTGTTAGTTTCTTACTGTTTTGAACTTTGCTTTCAAAGAAGTATATATCACTATACAGTATGTCTCTCTCTCTCTCTCTCTTTCATAATTGGAGAATCTGAGTATCAGCCTATCATCACAAGTACTTTTTTAATGTAGCAGTGTTTCCAATACTGTACTATGAATATGACTAGAATAATGTATGCCATAAAAATTTTACAATGATTCATTCATTAGTCTATAGGCTGGGTTATCATGAAATAATTGTGTCGATTACACTAAGTTACCATAAAGCAATCATATTGTTGCTTCTTCATTATTAATGCATGAATCATTATACCTGTAAATAAAATTGAATTTGTTCACATTATCTTTTCATTTTTGATGTCAACTGTTAATAATATATCTAGCATCTACAGTGTTCTGTATCATGAGACAATGTTGATGCAGGTACTGACAGAGGATTCATCTGTAAACAGACAACAGAAATCCACAGTATCAATAAGTACAGTACAGTACTGTAAAGTATTTTCTCCTTCCAATTTTCTTAGTAACATTTTCTTTTCTCTAGCTTATTTTATTGTAATAATACAGTTTATAATACATTTAACAAAAAATATATGATAACCAACTATTCATGTTATCGATAGTGCTTCCAGTCAGCAGTAGGCAGTAGTTAAGTTTTGGAAAGTCAAACATAATATGTGGATTTTTGAATGTGTGGGGGTAGGCCCCTATCTCTGGCATTGTTCAAGGGTTGACTGTATTTTTAAATCAATGCCTTCCCCTTCCCTCCTACTCTCTGGTCTGACCCATTTTGGGTTTAGCCCTTGGCTTGAACTGGGGACATGGAAATAAGGGGACACAATTATCCTTAGATTCTAACCAATTCAGTTATTTTTCTCTTTTGCTTTCTTCCATGTCCTTTTCATGTTTCCACATTTCCTTGGTCACATTCCCAAATTTTCCCCAATTCTAACATCTTAAGTCTTAATGGAAGACAGAGTATTTCCTCTCAATTATTAGAAACTCTACAGTCTGCCCCTTGATAGGTTAAACATGAGCTAAAATAAATTTAGAAAAAAATTGTTACTTTTTATGAAGACTGGCTTTGAAGACTTTCTGGAAAATCTTATTTTGAATGTCAAAAGTTTATTATCATTATTCCTTTTTCTGTATATCTTCTGTAACAATCCATATAGTTCCCCCAAGTGAAATGTCTTGGGTCAAACTAAGAAGAAGATCTTGTGATAAGAAAATCATAAAAAAAAAGTATCAATTTTCTTTCCAATGTTATCTCACTACATATGCCTAATAAAGTCTTAAAATAAATATTGCCCAAAATGTTAGTATTTTCATAGTAAAGTCATAGATCTTTTTATTGCCTTCTTCATAAAATTTTCCCCAAACATTTTAGAAGGGTGATGTATTATACTTATAACTAGATTAACAGTGTTAAAAAAACACTTTAAAAATCTAAAAACCCAAATCATAACTATTTAGTATCTGTGTGGGGTAAAGTGCTTGGTTTCTAATAGCCTGAACCATGGAGTCAAAACAAGGAAGCAGTAGCTCCAGTTAGGGCGGGGAAAGTCTAAACAATTTGTCCTGACAATAGAACAATTAAACAGAATAATACGTTATTTATTTATACTTTTTTCTCCTTTAAACACTGAGATAATCAATGGTCTAAGTTCTGGAATCAACATGATATAAAATACATTAAAACGTGACATTTTTTTCCAAAGAAATGAGATAAACATAACCTAAATCATTAGAATTCAGCTCAACCTAAGAATCCCTATAACTGTTTTTACTTAAGGTCAAGCCTGTAGCACTTTAGATTCTATGGTCATCCCTCTTGACGTCAAGTCACGTTAGAAGTATGATCACCAAAAAAAGACATTTCTATTCAACATAGCTTTAGTTATTTCAATGCAAAAACAATGACAAATATAAATAATCAACAAAAATCTTGAATTTAAATTAAAGCAAGGAAAGAAAATATACCCTCTGCCCTAAGCTCAGTAAGTTTGCTTATTAGTTTCCTAAATTTCTGATAAAACTTTGTTTAGAATAGAATACTCCTTTTAGATAAAATTTGCATCTTTGAGGTTAAAAAGTAACTATTCAGAAATTGTTTTCATGTTCATAACTACAAACTAAACAGATTAATGAATAAAAAGAAAAAAGATGGAGTATTTACATAAGTATTGTCTATAACTAAGCAGTTGTTAATCCTCACAAACAGATCCACATGAGGGCAGTAGACCACGGAAAAGACTGGAATATGAAAAGTAGCACAAAAACACATCAAAAGGAAAAGCATATTCAATTCTTGAATACTTTCCCTTGGCAAGAAAAATGGCCTCGTATTTTAGAAATCGCAACTAACGTGAGTTACCAATATCTTTCTTGTGACAAATAAATCTTTTCTTTTTTTATTCCAACATACCAGCAGGAAAAAGCTGTTTTCTCTCTTCCCTCCCTATACAAATCCATAAAGGATCTAATCTCATAAAAGTCTCAAAGTAAGCAAAATTCTTGTCCCCCTGTTTTTCTTAAAGTATTGACTAGGATAAAAATATCCTAGATAAATGAAAACTTCTGCTGTGGAGAGAGAGAAAATTGTGTAGAGTATCAATTTAATTTATCATTTTTAAAGCACTTGAAGGAACGATAACTCTTTTAGTTAAAAAAATCTAGACAGAAAAAATAGAAGTGTAAAATTTTTAGTATCAGGCTCATGAGTAATATGAGGAAAGGATTTGGGGAGTAGTTGTATATATTCTCATTATTGTCAGGATTTGAAATTGGGAGTAAGGAAAAGTGATGGAAATTTTACAACTACTCACCCTTGTCTCCCCGATACTCCAAATATAATCTTTTACCCATCATCTCTATTAGTTTTCTGTTACTGCTGTAACAGATTACCACAAACTTGGTGGTTTACAACACACAATTATTTTCTCATAGTTTCTGTAGGTCAGAAACCTGAGATGGGTCTCACTGGATGAAAAGTCAAGCGTCTACAAGGCTGCACTCCTTACTCAGGCTCTGGGAAAGAAACCAGTCTAAGCTCATTCACATCATTGACATTTCAGTTCCATAAAGTTGTAGGATTAATTCCCTTTCTTCACTTGCTGTCAGCCAGGTACACCTTCACTCCTAGGAGCCTCTCATCCTCACTAAAGGGACCCCCAGATCTCAGAACCAGCAACAGCATACTGAGTCCCTCTCAGGCTAGGGATCTCTCAGATTTCCCCTTGTACTGCATCCTGTCTGCCTAATGTTGCTGTTGCATCTCCCTGATTCCAGCCAGATAAAGTTTTCTGTCCCCAGGAGCTCATGTGATAAGATCGGGGCCACTCAGATAATCCAAGACTATTTGCCTATTCTGAAAAGCATAATTTAAATTACATTTGCAAAGTTTCTTTTGCCATGAAACATAACCTATTCAAAGGTTCCAGAGACAAGGATGTGGGCATCTTTGGAGAGTCATTATTAAGCCTGTCACATAGTTTAATTGAGAAGAGGCTCTGAAGGGAATAGGGAAGCGTGGAGACAGCAAAGAAAAGGAATGGCAATAGAGATTAAAAATTTTTTTTCTGAGACTATTTACATTCATGTCCTTAATGTCTCTTACATACTACAAGCTCATTCCTATACTAGTATCTTATACCCTTTGCCCTGCTCAAAGCAAACCTCTTTTTTTTTTTAAATGTTTTGCCTATTCAAAGCATCATCTGTTTTCTGGTTTCTAGGAAGATCCTTCTTCTTAAAGTAAACACCAATATTTACTCAAAGTATTATTGATTTTCTTATTTCACAGAATCTCTAAACATTTCAGAACTAAACCATTAGCATTTTTTAATGATTGACTAATGTAAATTTCACCTCCTCAAAGTAATGTATGTGAGAGTTAAGAGCATGGATTCTACAGCAGAGTACCTAGATGACATCCCAGATCTGTCACTTGATAGCTGTACACCTTTAAGCAAGTTAATAAACACCTTTGTGTCAGTTTTCTTCTCTGTAAAACAGGAATAACAGTAATACCATGGTTTAAGAGAGTTAATACACATTGAGTGCTTCGAACAATGTCTAACACATAATAGGTGCTCAGTAAACACTAACTTTGATTTCTATTATTAATACTGTTTAAGCGATTTGAGAAAATATTCTATTTTTAGGTTATATTCAATAAGGCTCCAAATTCTTTAGCTGTATGTAATTTTCCCCTATGTGATTTCTGTGTGTATGCCAGTAAAATATAGGTGAAAATTAATAGAGGCCACATATATATTGATACTTTAATAGTCATTATTATATACACTTAATTTTATTTCAATAAAATGTCCTGTGTGCATTAATTATAGTTTGTATGAGAAGCTATACTTAATCTAAATCTTTTAAAGTGAGAATATTTTACTTGATGATTCTAGACTGCTATTCAAACAAAATAAGTGAGTATACATACATTTTATTTTGGCCTAAATCATTAAAGCAAAAGGTATGTAACTAATGCTATAATATAATGCAGCATAGAAAATTCATAAGAAAATTCACAGTATCAACTCAAGGGTCTCAGGTTCATGAACATTTTAACAGCCTTATTTAAATTTTAATCATTGGTTTTTAAGTGATATTTTCTAAAATGAATTTTGTTTCATCTTTTTAGAAAACTAAATTTTAAGCAAACTATATCCTTACTAGAACCAATGAGAAAACATACCACTTCCTCATTCATTCAACTATTATTTATTGAGGTTAGAGATAGTATCTAAATAGTTAAGTGACAAGTGTGAAATAAAATTTCTTATTTTATGATAAGAAATGAAAAATTTAAACAAAAAATTCTCTCTGCCCTTTGGCCTCCTCTCTCCCTGCACTGTGCATTGTGTATCTGCACTATACATTGACCAAACCTCCCCCATCCACAGAAATACCTGCTCAACCATAAGAGCAACATTCTCCTAGCATCAAGACAACTCCTTAAAAGACAATATTCCTTCTTGATCCGGTAAGGGGCCATGATGACGCTTAGATCTGCATTGTTCAAACTGTCAATAATACATCATTTAATACACAGCCTTCTGTCTCAAAAAATCTTACATAACTATGCTTTGACTTCTAAGGGACAGGACAGTTCTCAGAACTTTTTTGGATGCTCTTCCTGAGTTATAATCCTCAAATTTGCTTAAATACAATTTTCCATTTCTTTCTTAGATTGACTGATTAATTTTTTAACAACAAACTTTAATTGCCAATCTTTGAAGCAATATTAGAGATAGAATCTCTGAAAAATGAGGAAAAATGATCCCTAAGTATGGTCCTGAAGGTCATAGAGCTTGCTGTTGTAACACCCAGATTGAACTCTGTTCTGTTGTACTTCAAAGCCCGGCAGATTTCAGCACAAGGTGTCGTTGCTCATTAACTATCCTAATTTGATCGGTATTCCTCCCACCCAGTACCTAATAAATGTCTGTTTCACTTTTAGAGTTTAATAAACATGTGTTGAATAAGTGAATACATGAACTATATTATTAGATTAATTATAAAATTTTTCATTTGA